TCTCTGTGTCCTTTCACTATGATAAAGGTTAGGCACGAATCCAACTATATGTTGAGCCCTTTTGGAACATGTGGGTAGTCATCTGATCTCCCCCCACCCAAGATGAAAACATAACTTTCTTTTTTTTTTTTTAGTTTTTTTATTGTTTTATATCTGAGAGACAGAGAGAGACAGCGTGAGCAGGGGTGGGTCAGAGAGAAAGAGGGAGACACAGAATCTGAAACAGGCTCCAGGCTCTGAGCTGGCAGTCAGCACAGAGCCCGATGCAGGGCTCGAACCCACGAACCGTGAGATCGTGACTGAGCCGAAGTCGGACGCTTAACCGACTGAGCCACCCAGGTGCCCCAAAAACATAACTTTCAATGGTATATAACTCTAATTTCATAAATCCTAAAAACCTAAAGAATGCAAGAATTGAGATGTTGACATGGTTACTCAGTAGATGGAGGAACTGGGACCCAGCTCTGTTCTGTCTTCTTCCCAAGGCAGTGTTTATCCCACATGCCAGGTGGCCACACCCAGTTACTACATCCTGGGCCAAGGAAAACTTCTGGATGAGGCACAACACCTAGTACCTACTGATTAGCTATGCAGCCTTGGGAAAATACCTTAAAGGATTTGAACTTCTGCTTTTTTCACTGGAAAACTGTAATATTAATAATAACAATGTCACAGAATTGCTGCAAGATTTTAATAAGATTATATATATATGTCATATGTGTGAAACACATACATATTAAGTATACAATGTATTAAACTCTACAAAGTATTTAGTCTTGTGCTTGATATACAGTAAACCTTAATAAATGGAAAAGCTGGATAAATATGTATCTATATGGTCAACATACAAACATTTGTATAAATATGGACATATGCATGCATGTGTGTATATACACACAGACACATGCATGTAAGCTAATGACTCATCTAACAAGTTACGCGTGGATTACAGAGCATCACTCACCATTCACAAATGAAACTAGTTAGAATTTCATAAGTAGGCCTGATTTTTATGTCTACTGGTTTCAGTCTAGGCAACCACCTTTATCCAGAAACTGTCTGCTCAAAGCCTAATGTCTGACTTTCTTTAATGTTTAACCTGTTAAGTTAATTATTAGCTAGAGAATCCAGAGCTTTGCTTAAGACACAAACTGGCATTTATCATTAGCTCTAACATCCACATACGTGGTAGCCATATTTTCAGAACTCAAAGTTAGAACCTGTAATCTAGCAGTGAATTGCTGTACTAGGAAAACTAGAACTTCCTTGGAAACTCTGATGTCTATAGATAGAGAATATTTAATCCTCCTGAAATCATGGAAACCAAACTTCAGGGGTTGAGATTTGCTATTAGTGATGCCTTATTTTATTCTTTATATTGCACCTTTATGGTGTTTGTGTTTATAGCATTACAAAATTATACTGCAGTTGAGGTCTAATGCTCACTCTTTGGAAATCATTTGGAAACAATTTGTGGCATCCTCTATCCTCTCTCTGAAGATGTTACAGTATCAGCCAGTAAACTGTAGTGTAAGAAGCTATTTGTGCCTGGAACTCGGTATCACCAAGTGTTCTGTCTGTAGAAAGACGACAGAACTAACTATAACCCAAATGCACCGTCTTTCACTGTGGAAAGCCCCACGCTCCAACCAAAACTCTTTTCACATTTATCAGCAAATATCCATTTGGACCTTACTATCTGAGTGACTTCAGACAAACTATTTAGTCTATAGGTGCCTTGGTTTCCTTTTCTGTAAAATGGCGAGAATAAGAACACCTGTCCTATGGTCAACAATATTATATTGTATACGAAAAAGTTTGTTAAGAAGACTGATTTCATGTTAGGTGTTCTTTCCAATAAAATACATTTAACAACACCAACAAAAAGAAAACCTGCCTCAAAGAGTTAAAGAGGTTTAAATAAGTTAATATTTGTGATGTCATTAGAACAGTGCCCAGCACAGAGTGTAAAATAAACAAATAAATAAAATAAAAAGTACACCTTCTATTGTTTGCTAATTGCTTCTAGATCCATCTTTTAGTGCCAACAAGACTAAGCCGTCTAAGTCAGAGACCACAGTGGCACTCTTCTTTCTATTCAGCTCCCCACCGTCAGTGCGTTTAGCACATCAGCAGGCATGAGGTATCAATACATAGTTGTGAGTTCAATCATAGCAGTGTCGCACGGGAGAAACGACCCTGGAAAACAGCGGCTTGACTGCCTCTCTAACGGCCGCCTCTAGGTCAGTTTCTTCCAAAATGCCTGAACTCAGCACACAGTAACAATGTTGATGTGGCAAATCAAGACACACATGGATATGTCCATGTGTATATAACTATTTAGCTGAAATCAAAGTTTTACAAAACAGTGCGTAACCTCACTAGATAAAACATGCTCTGATACGTTCTATTCTAGTTAAATCCAGTCCACTGCATCTCAAACATTAATGTGCATTCAAATCACTTGGGGATTGTGCTGAAATGCAAATTAGATTCAGCAGCACTTGGTTGAATCAGAGATTCTGCACTTCTATCATGCTCCTGGGTTGCACTGTGGGTCCCTGGACTGTACTTTAGATGGAAGTAATGCTCGGAATGGCTCTCTAAATTTATTTCACATCCAGCTAAAAGGCCGTGCTCTGCAGTTGTAAAACCCTGCTCCAGTTAGTTCTGAAAGTGCCTTTCACCTCTATAATTCCATGATTATATTCCTAACCTTGGGATAGAAATCCTAGGCCTGTGCAGAAGTCGGGATAGGGGAGTTCATGGCAGGAATGACTCAAGCATTACCTTTCATAGTGACTTTGGGGCGATGTGCCTATCTGGTGCCCAGCCCTGTCCTCACTGTTCAAAGCTTACACATGGCAAATATGCTAATAAATTAAATGAGTGCTTATTAAGAATAGGACACTAAACTGAGTGTTTTACATCTACCCCATTTACTCCTACAATCACCTGTGCAGATATCCCCATTTTACAGATAAGAGACGGCAAGTAGCTGTAACTAGTGGAGCTAGGGTTCCAGAGCCTATGTTTTGTGATAGGCAGCCTCCAGTGATCCTGGCCTCCTGAGATTCACACCCTTATACAGCCTTCTCTCACGCCGAATGGGGCTAACCTGGTAGCCAGTAGAGTCCTGAAGAAATGACAGTGTGTGACTTCCAAGACTCACTCAGGAGACACTGTGGTTTCTATCTTGCACTCTCTTCGATTGCTCCCCCTGCAAGAAGCCAGGCTGCCATGTCGTGAGAGCTCTCAAGCAGCCTTATGAAGTCCATACGGCACTGGACTGAAACTTTCTGCCAATTTCCTGCACCAACCTGGTAGGCACACATGTGAGCCACTGTGGAAGCCAACCCTGTAGCCTGTCAAGCCTTCAGACAACTGAAACCCTTGACTAACGCCTTGACCACAACCTCACAAGAGAGCCCCAACCCAGAACCACGCAGCTAAGCCTCTCCTGACCCATAGGAACTGTGTGAGGTAAATAAACATTTATTATTGTCTTCGACCTTTAATTTCTGGGGTAAGTTCTTATGCAGCAATAGATAACTAATATCGTGCTTAACCAACAGGTTATATGGCATCATTATGATTCAGCCCTAAAAGGAAAGTGAACTTTTATGAGGCCTTGTGGATCAGTTCTTCACTGTGGCAGCTTGTATTATGGTTCAGCAAATGTTTGTTCTCCCCTCGCAACCAACTTTGTGAGAAGCATCCGCTTCCCATCTGAATTGGACCAGATGACTTGCTGAAGCTGATTGGATGTGGGAGTTGGGGATGTCAAATCACATCCGAACAGAAGTTTTTGGAGACACTACAAGAATCTGTGTCCTGCCCATCCAGATGGCCAACAGACACATGAAACGATGCTCAGCATCCCTCCTCATCAGGGAAATACAAATCAAAACCACGCTAAGATACCACATCACGCCAGTCAGAGTGGCTAAAATGAGCAAATCAGAGAACTCTAGATGCTGGTGAGGATGTGGAGAAACAGGCCCCCTCCTACACTGTTGGTGGGAATGTAAGCTGGTACAGCCCCTCTGGAAAACAGTGTGGAGGTTCCTCAAAAAATTAACAATAGAACTCCCCTATGACCCAACAATAGCACTACTAGGAATTTACTCAAGGGATACAGGGGTGCTGATGTATAGGAGCACATGTACCCCAATGTTCATAGCAGCACTCTCAACAATAGCCAAAACATGGAACAAGAAGATGTGGTATATTCATACAATGGAATACTACATGGCAATGAGAAAGAATGAAATCTGGCCACGTGCAGCAACATGGATGGAACTTGAGGGTGTTATGCTGAGCGAAATAAGTCAGGCAGAGAAGGACAGATACCATATGTTTGCACATATAGGAGGATTAGGAGGAAGTTAACGGAGGACCATGAGGGAGAAGAAGGGGAAAAATAGTTGGGGAGAGGGAGTGAGGCAAACCATGAGAGACTCTTGAATGCTGAGAACAAACTGAGGACTGATGGGGGTGGGGGGGGGGGGGGAGTTGATGGGCATGGAGGAGGGCACTTGGGATGAGCATTGGGTGTTATATGGAAACCAACTTGACAATAAACTATTTGTAAAAAAAATAAAATAAAATAAAATAGAAGCTCAGTTAAAAACAAACAAAAGGATTATATAGATATCTAGTAAATGCTTAATTTCCATAATAAAAGTAATAAGTGATGCTTTAAAAAAAAAAAAAAAAAGAATCTGTGTCCTGTCTTTAGCTTCTGCCCTCCTCTATAAAAACCATATATCCCAAAGACTAGATGCTCCTTCAGCCAGGGTCCCCGAATGAGAATGCTTGGCCAGCCCGGCTGAACTTGAGCCCAGTTTGGAGACACAAAAGCCCATGCAGATGACCCCAAGCCCATGCAGATGCACAGCTGACTTACAGACCCACGAGCGAGGAATAAATGCCTGCTGGTGTAAGCACAGGATCTCAGGGCTGGTTGTGACCTCAGCAAAAGCCGAACCCCCGCTCACCATGCTGGATGATGCCGTGCTCCATCAGTCGGTGGCACAGCTGCTCAGCCTCCTTCCTTGCCGTGGCCTCGCCTTCCTGAACCAGCCAGTCCAGGAATTCAGACGCCATGAAGGTGCGCTCATACTTGACCCCTTCCTCTTCCCTGGGTTGCAGGAGTGTGTTTTCAGGGCTCATTAGCCTGGGAAGAAGAAATGGAAGAAAAATAAACCTACGTGGCAGGAAAATAGTTCATTTGAAATCCTGTAGCATAGGCTTCTGTGACGCATCACAGCCAAGTTATTAGACAGACAGATGTGGCTGTCCTGTGCGATTATGGACATAATCTCTAAGAGAAGGATCTGTTTCAGGAGTGAATAAGGTGCATTTTCTCTTGGCAATTAAGAATAAAAAAAAGGGGTGCTGAGTGGCTCAGCTGGTTGAGCATTTGACTTTTGATTTTGGCTTAGGTCATGATTCCAGGGTCATGGGATCGAGCCCTGAGTTGGGCTCCATGCTGGGTGTGGGGCCTCTTTGGGACTCTCTCTCTCTCTCTCTCTCTCTTCCTCCATTACTCATGCACACACTCTCTCTTTCTCTCTTAAAAAAATGAGACTTAAAAAAAAACAAAACTGGTGGTGAGCCTGGCTGGCTCTACAGGTCAGCATGTGACTCTTGATCTCAGGGTTCTAAGTTCAAGCCCCACTTCGGTGTAGAGATTACTTTAAAAAATTAAGTTAAAAAATAAGGAAAACAGGAGAAAAAACTGGAAATGTAATCTAAAACCCACATTAGCATATGATATTCAGTTTAGCCACCTAGAAAAGGAGTTACGATTTATTGACCAAGCCCCATCCACCTTTCTAAAAAGGCTAGTATATCTTTCCTAAAGGAGTTAATTCAGTGTCTCAAATCATTGGGCTAACAAGATAACCGCTAAGGACTGAATGTTTGCAGCCCCTCAATATTCGTATATTGAAACAATAATGCCCAGTGAGATGGCACTGGGAGCCAGAACCGTTGGGAGGTGATTATTTCATGAGGGTGGAGCACCCATGAGGGATTAGTGCTCTTGCAAGAGACAGAGAGTTTGCTTCTGCTTTCTTCCCCGGTGAGGCTACAGGGAAGACTGTCTGCAAACCAAGGAGAGGGCTCTCGCCAGACAGCATATCTGCTGGTGCCTTGATCTTGGCCTTCCCTGCCTCCCAGCTGTGAGACATAAGAGTTTATTGTCTAATCCACCCAGTCTACAGCATCTGTTACAGCAGCCTGAACTGACGTCAGCCATTCCTTCCCAACACTCCCTCCCCACAGAAACTGTTTTTCACACCTTCTTCTCCAGCACCCCCCACTCCCCTTGCTTCTGTCCTCACACACCTCCGGAATAGCTCCCGGAGGGGCCGTAGGATTATCCCGTGCGCCCACACTTGTAAATCCCCGCTCTGGTTGATGCTGCTGCCCATTTCCCTCATCCAGGGGGGCATCATGCTCTGCTGGTTTCCCTCCTATCCCGTCCCTCTGTTCCGACCTCTTTCTCAGTTCCCTTTGCGTTGGCTCCTCTCGTCTCCGGGGACTTTAAAGGCTGGAATCTCTTGAGATTCAGTTCCCCAAATACCTCTTTTCTCATTCCATAGTAACTGAGGGAATTGCTTGAACTGCCATCCATGCCCCCAGGGATTCCCAAATTTATGTCTCTAGATCAGGCCTATATTCCCAACTCCAGACCTCTGGACCCACAGAGACAACTCAAAGACACCTAGAAATCAACAAGCCCAGAACTGAACTCATGTTCTTCTCCCAAACCTGGTCCTGGGCCAGTGAGGGCTTCTGTCATCCCAGCAGGAAACAGGGCAGCAAGTCTGATGCCTCCATAGTCCTCATCCCCCCACCAGTCAGTCAGCACAAACTGTAAATTTTATGTCCCAAATCATGCTCATATATGTCTAGGTCTTCCTGTCTCTGACACGGCCACTTCCTTAGCCCAAAACACCGACACCTTTAACCTAATTACAATCATTTCTTTTTTTTTTTTTAATGTTTTATTTCTGAGAGAGAGAGAGAGAGAGACAGCATGAGCAGGGGAGGGTCAGAGAGAGAGGGAGACACAGAATCTGAAGCAGGCTCCAGGCTCTGAGCTGTCGGCACAGAGCCCGACACGGGGCTCAAACCCACGAACTAGGAGATCATGATCTGAGCTGAAGTCGGACGCTTAACTGACTGAGCCACCCAGATACCCCAGAATTACAGCCATTTCTTAATTAGACTTTACTATGTACCCAGTCTTGTTCTCAACCCAACCTCAAGCATCTAAGTCCAAACACAGCAATTAAAACTATCTTTTTAAAACTCAAATCTGATAATGTCCTGCTGCTGTTGAAGATATACTTCAAACGTTTCTCTTTGCTTTTAGGCTAAAGACTGAAATCCTTTATATGGTCTCTAATGCATGCGCGATCCTTCCCATGTACCCACTTAGGACCATTTTCACCTCTGACCTCTGTCTGCTTCAGAGAGGGTCTTATTATAGATCTTCAAACATATCATACCCCATCTACCAAAGGACCTTTGAATATGTCATTCCTGCAGTTAGAATGCTCTCCCTCACTTTTCCCTGCAACTCTTCTACTCTGTAGCCTACTTGACTCCTTATCCTTTGTATCTCGGCTATTCTCAGGTCTCCATTAGGCCATCTCATTGTTCCCTCTAAAGTCTATGTGATTATCAGATTCAAGACTACCTCCTCTACATAATTATAAGCTCCAACAGGGTAAGGTCCATGTTTGCCTATAATACTTTGTTCAATGAAAAATGGAACTCCATAAAATGCCAAAATCATTGTGTCACTTTCCTCTTTAAAACTATTTCTCATAAATTTCCTGTCTTCTACATCTTTCTTTCAAAAACCCTCATTTCTTTTCAAACTAACAATAATAAGCAACACAAATTGTACCATTTAATTCTAGAGCAGGAAGAAATCTTAGAGACCACTGTAATCCAACTCCCTCTTCATCCACACAAGAAAAATGTAATTCTCTAATACAACATTATGTGTCAATTATATCTGAATTTACAAAATGTAATTCGCATCTAAATGAGAAAAAAAATGTATGGCAGCATTCAGTGTTGCGGGTAGGAAATCGGCTCAAGGTCATGCGAAGAAGCATATTATACATGTTTACAAGTCATTTCCTTTGGGGGTAACTGGACTTCCATACCTGAATGTCCATTCACAGGATGTGCATTTTCCATGCTTTCAGACTTAGAGTCCAGATCTGCTGTGGAAACAACACTAGGCTAGCAATCTCAAGACTTCAGTTTGTTTGGAATCACTTAGCTGTAAGATGCAAAACAAACCTGCTTTGTTTCAGCCTCCTTTTCCTTGAGAGTACCATGCTCTCTTCACCCATGATTGTGAGAATCATAAATGAATGTGAATAAAACAGCTTTATGGTACAAAAGACAAGGCATATCCAAAGTGTTACACTACTGAACCAATTGCTGTGCCCACTGAGTGCAGGATGAAATTGTGCCCAATATCTATGAGGTGACAAGGGAAACTCCTGGCGCTCCCTCCAGTCTTCATAGCAGATTCTTCAGAGTCCTAAGGTATGAAAGCCATGGCAGGGTACAGGATTGGGAAGCCAAAGACCAGAGAGCCCAGCACAGCTCTGCCACAAATGAAGGACGTCATTTCTCACAACTTCAGTGTCCCCACATTAAATGAGGAAGATAATACCTATTCTACATCCTTCCCTGAATTGCTGTTATCATCAAAAACCTTTGGAAAAAGAAATTCCCTGTATATAAGCATCTGCTTTTATATTAAAAGTGTTTATAAAAGTTATTAGCATCTAACAGAACTCATAAAAAAGCTTCTTTCTCAGCATGTAACAAAATCTTGAAAAGCTCTTTTTCTTTAGACCTTTCTCCAAGTCAATCCTCTTCTGCCTTTTAATCCATCCTTAGAAGAAGCTCCGGGGCTGCTTTCCCAGGGTTAGTAACAGCTGAGTTGGGATGAGTAGTAAGAATTATACCTAATATTATGATGACCAGGCCCTTCTAAAAAGATGAAAAGGACAGATGAGAATCGAGAGAAGACCTCTAAAGGGCCCACATGCATGTCCAAATTAGGAATGCCACCATCTCTTCATTTCTTTGGACCCTCAAATAAGATATTTTGGCATGAAGATAGAGGTAAGCCAGCCTCCTCAATTTTCCAGTTTTAGACATTATTTCCTCTAAGAAGTCTTCTCTGATCCTACAAATCTGGACCATGTGCCACTGGGAAGGATTCCCATAGTTCCCTGCAAGGCGCTTAGAGCCCTAGGGGAGTAGCCGCTCACCTAACTATAAGCTTCTTGAGATGACTGTCCTTGTCTCCGTGGTTCACAGTTGTTTCCTAATAGAAAAGATCCTCAAAAAGTGTTCACTGAGTGAATAAATGAAACTCACTTCTATGGATTCTCCTACTATACATCATTACCCTAGAGTATGAAAAATGACCCCTTTAGCTATCGCCAAAGAGACAGGAGACAACAGGTGGTAGTGAGGATGTGGTGAAAAAGGAACCCTTTTATATTGTTGGTGGGAATGTAAATGGGTCCAACTAGTATGGAAAACAATATGGAGGTTCCTCAAAAAGTTAAAAATAGATCAATGTTACAATCCATCAATTCCACTTCTGGGTATATATCCAAAGGAAATGAAGACAGGATTTTGAACAAATATCTGTCTCTCTTGTTTACCACACATTATTCACAATAGCTAAAATACGGAAACAACCCAAAAGACCATCAAGAGATGAACAGATAAAAAAGATGGTGTACATGTACACAATGGAATATTATTTAGCTGTGAGAAAGGCGAACATCCTCCCATTTGCAACAATGTGGATGGACCTTGAGCACATTATGTTAAGTGATGTAAGTCAGACAGAGGAAGCCAAGGATTGTATAATATAACTTATATGTGTAATCTAAGAAGTGAAATACAAAAAAGAGCATAAAAAGGTGGTTCGCCAGGGAATTTGGGAGGAGGGATGGATAAGACTGATGCTGTTTAAGGGTACAAACTTGTAACAAGTAGTAAATAAGCCAGAGAGAGCTAATGCACGGTATAATGAATATAGATAATACTATTATACTATAATTATGTATTGTTGACAAATATCACTATATCCGTAATCATATTATAATATATAAA